GCTGTACACCAATTAGAATGAGTAAAATCCAAGATACTGACAACACCAAATGCTTGTGAGGATGTGGAGCAATAGGAACTCTCACTCATTGCTGGTGGCAATGCAAAATGGTACAGACATTTTGAAAGACAGTTTGGCATTTTATTTTAAACTAAACATAGTCTTACGTTATGATCCAGCAATTGCCCTTATTGTGGATTGATTTGCATTGCCCAAGAAAGATACGTTGAAATCCTAACTCTCAGTCCTTCACATTGTGATCTTGTTTGGAAACAGAGTCTTTAGTAAGTTTATTAATTTAAAATTAGGTCATTAAATTGGGCCCTAATCCAACATGATTGGTGTCCTTATAAAACAGGGAAATTTGAACACAGGGACAGATATCACAGCAAAGACAAAGTGATGACACAGAGGAAAACACCACATGAAGAAGGCAGAGATTGGAGTAAAGCATCTACAAGCCCAGGAACACCAACGATTGCCAGCACATCACCAGAAACTAGAGAGTAGCATGAAACAGATTCCTCCTTGCAGCTCTCAGAAGGAACCCATACTGCTGACATCTTAATTTCAGACTTCTAACCTCCAGAACTGTGAGACAATAAATTTCTGTTGTTTTTAGGCACCCAGTTTGTGGTACTTTGTTTCAGCCGCCCAGGAAACTAACACAGAGCTGCTGGGTAATTACTCAAATGAATTGAAAACTTAGGTCCACGCAAAAAAACTGTATATGAATGTTTATAGCAACTTTACCCATAATCTCCAAAATTTGGGAGCATCCAAGATGTCCTTCATTAGTTGAATGAATAAATAAACTTTGATGTATCTAAGCAAAGGGATAAAAAATTAGCTATCAAGCCATGAAGAGACATGAAAAAACTTTAAATGCATAGTTGCTAAGTGAAAGAAACCAGTCTGAAAAGACCGCATTCTGTATGATTCCAATGATATGACACTCTGCAAAAGGCACAACTATAGAGACAGTAAATGATCAGTGATTGCTAGGGATTCGGCAAGAGGGAAGGAAGGATGAAAAGTAGAGCACAGGTAATTTTTAGGGAAGTGAAACTATTGTCTGATACTATTATGGTGAATATGCATTTGTCAAAACCCATGAAACGCTATAACACAAAGTGAACCCTAATGTAAGCTATGATTTTATTAATGACAGTGTATCATCATGTTACAAATGTACCATAATAGCAAAGTATTAATAATAGGGGAAACTGTGTGCAGGAGGTTGGGGAGGGGGAAAAGAGAGTATATGGGAATTCTCTATACTTTCTGCTCAATTTTCTGTAAACCTTAAACTGCTCTAAAAACTGGTCTGTTAATTAAGAAAAATACACTTTAACCTTTAGTAGTTGTGAGGCCTTGGAATGGTTTAACTTCTCTGTGCCTCAGTTTTCTCTTCTGAAAAAGGGCCAATAACAGAACTACTTTATAGAGTTGTGAAAATTGAACCTGATAAGACATGTAAATTGCTTAGTACAGTGCCTTGTACTTAGTGGGTAGTCAAGCGTGTTCTAATTATTTAAAGAGAAGTCAGAGTTTCATAGATGTCACATACTTGTATTTGTTTTTGAAATAGAAGTTTTTGCCATAGCTAGGCACTAGCCTGTTAGAAATTTAATATATACATTTGCATAGCGTTTAATTGCATTACATTTCACATTGAGCTTGTGACTGGTACATAGTGTTGAGACAGTCATCTTAAATGAAAGAATCTACTGGTAATATGTGTTTTCCAACAAGGGCGAAGGACCTTATGCAGCTTCTTGGCCTTATGCAGCAGATGCAAACATTGCATGAAATTTACCAAGTGGAGTTACTATGACAGATAACTGTGGACACATTTTAAATGCCTCATCCTTTGTGCTCTATTAAAACCATCCTGTTCAGACAAATAAGAATTTAGAGCCATATTAGTGCACATATGAGATCTTTAGGGACATTTAATAATGGTTTATCTCTTCTTATTTTATTAGAAATCTTGCCTTTATTAGCAGGTGAGGTTGAAAATCAGCTTTATGTTGTCTAACTCAATTCTCAAGCCCTAGCAACATAAAGCTTATAGGCTGGTAGCAGTATTTGTAAATTAAAGATTGCTTTAATCTTCAGTGACAGAGATTTATGAAATATTGCTTTAAATTTGTGCTTCATGTGGTAAAGCAAATTGAATTTATTTTATAGACAAAAGCAACTTGAAGAAACCCATAGATTACTTTGGCCACTGAAGGGTATAAATTATGTCGAACTAAATTTTGTCAGTGCTGTGTTTGAGCTATTTAGATAAAACATGTTTGTGACATTTATTGCAAAATGATACCTTCTTCTAGACTCCTGCATTCTCTGGAGTTGAGTATAGAATGAATCATTATGGGAATTAGTAATCCTTCTCTTGACAGGAATTGCATTATCCAAGGATATGAAAATTTGAATGTATTTTTCTAAGTAAATTATTATGAAAAAGTATCCAAACCTATTTGATGAATTTGAGGCAAGCCAAAACATTATACAACCCACATGCATAATTTCTAGCCAAATTCACTGCCATTATTTAGGATTTTTAATGTACACTCATTCCCACAGGGTGTAATCCCACGTACAGGCAAGGTAAGTAAATCACTGTGATTGTGGTACTTGTTTGTTTGAAGTAAAGCAGTTCTTACAGAGCGTGAAACTTTCTAGTGGACACCCCACCACCAGTGTTGGTGTTCCTGTTATTATTTCTCTCAAGAAAGAGAAGAAAGCCATCCATTATGAACAAAGCTTTGCACTAGAAAGAAAAAATATATATGTTTTAAGACTCCAAGGACCCAAGCGTTTATTGGGCAGAAGAGGCTAATGTGTACATGTATATAAACATTAAAACATAGACAACCAACCTCAGGGCTCAACAACTGGGGAGGAATGAAAGACGAAGCAAGGGTAGATGGTTTAAAAAACTCTATAACTGGATCCAGAAAAATTATTATTTGGTTATTATTAATATTTATAATCAAATTAGTGTAAGATTCAAATTTATTTATATAGCAAATGCCACTGAACAGCATTTCAATTTAATAATTTGATTATGAATTATATTGGCTGTCATTAATTGGGAAGGAGATAATAAGTCTTTGATTAACAGTTGTTCATCTTTTTCTTGCCAAAAATGTTCCTCTAGACAAATATAACCCAAAACATTGCAACTTACATTTATGTTATTTATATTGACCCATAGTGGCCATGACATGCATAGCATGTAGCCCTCTCTCCTACCATTATGTACTGCTCCACACAAAGGGAGAATCACAACAGTTGGTGGGCTTCTCTGAATATTAAAGTTAACATATTTCATATCTGAAGATGCTTTTTCAACCCGTTTACTGAGTAAACTTCAGATTTTGCAAGGAGCCCAGAACAAAAGAAGGATCTGCAATAGGTCGAGGTTTCAGGGCAACCTGCTTTAACCCAATAGATCCAATTGCACTTAAAGGATAGAAAGGGACAATGCATGGAGCCTCTGCTTCATCCCAAAGAGACCATAATGCAGACTCCTAGGGTTTTCGAGTAAGTTTCTCCTGTGTGCTATATTCTGTGGCCAAAATGGGACATGATGATAGATTCCATACCAGAACCAGACTACCGTGTTTCCAGGTCAGTGAAGAGTGTTTTGTTGTTAGTTTGGATGATATCTCGATATTCCAATGGTAAATAGAACAATATCTCAAATTCTGGAACTGTATTGGGGTGTATCCACAGTTGGATAGGCAACGCTTCTGCAAATCAGAGGCCCCTGACTACCCTTTTGGACCAGTCACTTAATGAGCTTAATCTTGTAGGGAGAGGCTACAGTTTTGTTGGGTTTTTTTTAACATCTTTATTGGAGTATAATTGCTTTACAATGGTGTGTTAGTTTCTGCTTTACAACAAAGTGAATCAGGTTTACCTATACATATATCCCCATATCTCTTCCCTCTTGCGTCTCCCTCACACCCTCCCTATCCCACCCCTCTAGGTGGTCAAGGTGAGCTGATCTCCCTGTGCTATGTGACTGCTTCCCACTAGCTATCTATGTAAAAAAAAAAAAAAAAAAGTTATGAAGAACCTAGGGGCAGGACAGGAATAAAGACGCAGTTGTAGAGAATGGACTTGAGGACACGGGGAGGGAGAAGAGTAAGCTGGGAAGAAGTGAGTGGCATGGAATTATATATACTACCAAATGTAGAATAGAGACTATAGTTTTGGAATCCCTTTTGTCTTCATTTCTGGGAAGTTCTGAGCCCTCTCCTTATATACCCTGTATCTTAGGTTTTAAGCAGTTGGTTCAATTCCAGCCACTCTTTTGAAAGTTGAAGGAAGCCCCCATTCCTACCTCTCAGTACTTCATTTTATTAATCTATTTTATTTTATTTTTAATTTAACCTATTTATTTCACATAAATTAAGGCTGGGAACACCATCAGTCTCATCATATTTGGCTTCTTTATCTACAAGCCATTATACAGCCTTGCAAGAGGGAGATTCCTTAGAAGGGTCTATTGAGTGATTCTGTCAGGTTACTTGGTACCCTTGGGTATTACCTGTCTTTCTGGGAGGAGGGATAGTCAACCAGGCCATGCATTTTAGGCCATTTCTATCTTTATTTCCTTTTACATAGAACACGTAGCACCCTAGCAACACAATCCTGTCTTGGACTACTGTACTTAGTTTCAGAGGAAGGTGAAAGATGAGAGATTAAAGAATAAGAGCATCATTCCTCCCATATAACTCAGCAAATTGTAACTTTATTGCCTACTCCTCTTCATGGAACCTGCTTATTTCTGGGAAACTCCCTTCAAGACCATTAATAACAACAAAATAATGTTATCCTTGGTTTCTGGTTCAGGATACAGTCAACACAGGAGATAAGTGACAAATTAGTGACCTGCAATTCGAATCATTATCATTGATGAACTCTACTACTCCCAGAAGAGTACTTTCTTAACCTCCCTTTGATATGTTTTTGATCTTTAGTCCCTAGGATCCCTTTGAAGGCTGTGATGGGTTTGGCTTTCTGCACCAACCTGTCAGACAAATGAGGACAAGTAACCCAAGACCACACACATCAGGCATGGAATGATGTTTATATTGAGAAACTTCTGATATAGGAGGACTAGTGGATTTGTAGTTCCTCCTGTAAAGGCAATGGAGAAGCACGTAGGAATATAAGGCATATATTATATATATAAGATATCATGTATCATATATCATATATCATATATGTATCATATATCATATATTATATATATAAGATATCATATCGTATATATATATATATATGAGATATCATGATGAGAGCTAGTCCCTGGCTGAAGAAGCATCATCACATGACCTGGACCGTGGGCTGAGGATTGAAGTCACAGCTCTATAATGTGATAGAACTTTGTCCAGCAGCACTGCTCTGCCACAGTAGGAGAGCACAAGCCCCTCTCCTATGATCAAGGACTGGGGTCTATGCTTTGCAATTGTAGATAATATGACAGAACAAATCACTGGCTTCCAACCCTGATCCACCACTGCCTCAGCATTCTCACATAATTGAATTCCTTACTGCTTCTCTGTACCTCTTTTCTATGGAGCAGTTTGAGTTTCCAACTAGCCTTGCTCTGCATTTACCCAACACTCTCAGGAAGACCAGCCTATAGGGAATCAGCCTGGGAAATTTAATTCTTCTTACTTTTCATTTAGAATCTCTGAAGGGAAATGCTGAGAAAAATTATGTGATTTGAAATAAACCAACAGAACAAACTTTGGAGATGACATATTCACCTGGTAGATGAATCCTTTGTAAAAAATAACAGCGTATTGAAATACTGCAAAGCTTTGTATGTTGATGGTGCAGCAGCGATGTGGAAGGTTTACACATTAAGTTCAATTCGAAAACTCTGAAATTGAAGTATTACATTTTTCTATTCACAGAGAATCTCTGATATGTAAAGATTTGCCTGGAGTTCTGAAATCCACATTAAATAATGCTGTCAAAATGATGAATCTATTAAAATTCAAGCCTCAGCATTCCAATTCTATTTTCAGCTTTATTTAAAGAAATAGGATCAGAACACCACACTCTACTGCTTCATACTGAAATATGCCCATTATAAAAAGCAAGAAAATTGTGAAGAGTTTGTGCATTAAAAGAACTGTTGCATATGTGTGTGTGTGTGTGTGTGGGTGATGAGCGCATCTGTGTGATTATCACTTAGGAGATATTATTGAAGGAGACTTATTGGGTTTCAAGAATGACTTACCTAATGAAAATTTTGGAACATTCAAATACAGTTATAGAAAAGTACAAAGATTATATATATATATATATAATTTGCATATGTATACTGAAAAGGTTTGTGGATTCACAGTCAAAATTCAGCTTTGGAAAAATGAAGTTTAAAATGCTTCCTAATAGGGAGAGAGCCCTTTGGGTGGCTGTGGCCAGGCTCTGCCACCCAGCATGTGCCCCTTTGCCAGCTACTTCATTTTGCCAATTTGACTTTCTACAAAGTGTGCACTGGACCAGTGGGTGAGCTGCACCTGTGCCAGTTTGGGCCTCGCGTGGAGGAACTGGTGCTCCCTGCCTTCCGCACGTTGGCGCTGCACCACCTGTGCAGCTGCATCTTCCAGCTGCATGTGGCCTGCGAGTTACTGTGTGCACTGCCACTGGGTGACTCCTGGCTGTCCTTCGAGGCCCAGCATGGGCAGCTCATCAACTTCTACCCCTGGGACCACCACGGGCTGTCCCCCAGCTTCTGTGTGCCGGGCCTCAACACGTACTGGGTTTTGCAGCTGTCACGCAAACCGATATTCAAGACTCAGTGACGCTGGGCTCTGTTCAGAGCCTCCCCTTCTCTCGCCTAGCAGTTTTCCAACCTAGTTCTGCAAGCCACGTGGCTGACAGGGTCTTGGTACTCCGGCTGGGTGTCAGGCCTGAGCCTCTGAGGTGGGAGAGTCGAGTTCAGGACATTGGACCACCAGAGACGTCCTGGTCCCAATTAATATCAATCGGCGAGAGCTCTCCCAGTGATCTCCGTCTCAACGCTAAGACCCAGCTCCACTCAATGACCAGCAAGCGCCAGTGCTGGACACCGTATGCCAAACAGCTAGCAAGACAAGAACACAACCCCACCCATTAGCAGAGAGGCTGCCTAAAATCATAATAAGGTCATAGACACCCCATAACACACCACCGGATGTGGTCCTTCCCACCAGAAAGACAAGATCCAGCCTCATCCACCAGAACACAGGCACCAGCCCCCTCCACCAGGAAGCTTACACAACCCACTGAACCAACCTTATGCACTGGGGGAAGACACCAGAAACAATGGGAACTACAAACCTGCAGCCTGTGAAAAGGAGACCCCAAGCACAGTAAGTTAAGCAAAATGAGAAGACAGAGAAATACGCAGCAGATGAAGGAGCAAGGTAAAAACCCACAAAACCAAACAAATGAAGAGGAAATAGGCAGTCTACCTGAAAAATAATTCAGAGTAATGATAGTAAAGGTGATCCAAAATCTTGGAAATAGAATGGAGAAAATAAAATAGACATTTAACAATGACCTAGAAGAACTAAAGAAAAAACAAACAATGATGAACAACAGAATAAATGAAATTAAAAATTCTCTAGAAGGAATCAATAGCAGAATAACTGAGGCAGAAGAAAGGATAACTGACCTGGAAGATAAAATGGAAATAACTACCGCAGAGCAAAATAAAGAAAAAGGATTGAAAAGAATTTAGGACAGTCTCAGAGACCTCTGGGAAAACATTAAATGCACCAACATTCGAATTATCGAGTCCCAGAAGAAAAAGAGAAAAAGAAAGGAACTGAGAAAATATTTGAAGAGATTATAGTTGAAAAATTCCCAAACATGGGAAAGGAAAGAGTCAATCAAGTCCAGGAAGTACAGAGAGTCCCATACAGGATAAATCCAAGGAGAAACAAGCCAAGACACATATTAATCAAACTATCAAAAATTAAATACAAAGAAAAAATACTGAAAGCAGCAAGGGAAGAGCAACGAATAATACACAAGGGAGTCCTAATAAAGTTAACAGCTGATCTTACAGCAGAAACTCTGCAAGCCAGAAGGGAGTGGCAGGACATAGTTAAAGTGATGAAAGGGAAAAACCTACAACCAAGATTACTCTACCCAACAAGGATCTCAGTCAGATTCGATGGAGATATTAAAAACTTTACAGACAAGTAAAAGCTAACAGAACTCAGCACCACCAAACCAGCTTCACAACAAATGCTAAAGGAACTACTCTAGGCAGGAAACACAAGAGAAGGAAAAGACCTACAAAAACAAACCCAAAACAACTAAGAAAATGGTAATAGGAACATACATATCGATAATTACCTTAAATGTAAATGGATTAAATGCTCCAGCCAAAAGACATAGACTGGCTGAATGGATACAAAAACAAGACCTGTATATTCTGTCTACAAGAGTCGCACATCGGACCTAGGGACACATACAGACTGAAAGTGAGGGGATGGAAAAAGATATTCCATGCAAATGGAAATCAAAAGAAAGCTGGAGTGGCAATTCGCATATCAGACAAAATAGACTTTAAAAACTATTACAAGTGACAAAGAAGGACACTACATAATGATCAAGGGATCAATCCTAGAAGAAGATATAAGAATTGTAAATATTTATGTACCCAACATAGGAGTACCTCAATAAATCAGGCAAATGCTAACAGCCATAAAATGGGAAATCGACAGCAACACAATCATAGTAGGGCACTTTAACATGCCACTTTCACCAATGGACAGATTATCCAAAATAAATAAGGAAACACAAGTTTTAAAAGATACATTAAATCAGATGGTCTTAATTGATATTTATAGGACATTCCATCCAATAACAACAGAATACACTTCCTTCTCAAGTGCTCATGGAACATCCTCCAGGATAGATCGTATCTTGGGTCACAAATCAAGCCTTGGTAAATTTAAGAAACTTGAAATCATAACAACTATGTTTTCTGACCACAGTGCTATGAGACTAGATATCAGTTACAGGGAAAAAAACTTTTAAAAATGCAAACACATGGAGGCTAAGCAACACACTACTAAATAACCAAGAGATCACTGAAGAAATCAAAACGGAAATCAAAAAATACCTAGAAACAAATGACAATGAAAACACGATGGCCCAAATCCTATGGGATGCAGAAAAAGCAGTTCTAAGAGGGAAGTTTATAGCAATACAATCCTACCTCAACATCTCAAATAAACAACCTAAACTTACACCTAAAGCAATCAGAGAAAGAACAAAACACCCCCGAGTTAGCAGAAGGAAAGAAGTCATAAAGCTCAGATCAGAAATAAATGAAAAAGAAATGAAGGAAACAAGAGCAAAGATCAATAAAACTAAAAGCTGCTTCTTTGAGAAGATAAACAAAATTGATAAACCATTAGCCAGACTCATCAAGAAAAAAAGGGAGAAGACTCAAATCAATAGAATTAGAAATGAAGAAGGAGAAATAACAACTGACACTGCAGAAATACAGAGGCTAATGAGAGATTGCTGCAAGCAACTATATGCCAATAAAATGGACAACCTGGAAGAAATGGAAAGATTCTTAGAAGAGCACAAACTTCTGAGATGGAACCAGGAAGAAATAGAAAATATAAACACACCAATCATAAGCACTGAAATTGAAACTGTGATTAAAAATCTTCCAACAAACAAAAGCCCAGGACCAGACAGCTTCACAGGCGTATTCTATCAAACATTTAGAGAGGAGCACCTATCTTTCTCAAACTCTTCCAAAATGTAGCAGAGGGAGGAGCACTCCCAAAACTCATTCTACGAGGCCACCATCACCCTGATACCAAAACCAGACAAGGATGTCACAAAGAAAGAAAACTACAGGCCAATATCACTGATGAACATAGAAGCAAAAATCCTCAACAAAATACTAGCAAACAGAATTCAACAGCGCATTAAAAGGATCATACACCATGACCAAGTGGGGTTTATCCCAGGAATGCAAGGATTCTTCAAAATACGCAAATCAATCGATGTGATACACCATATTAACAAACTGAAGAATAAAAACCATATGATCATCTCAACAGATGCAGAGAAAGCTTTAGACAAAATTCAACACCCATTTATGATGAAACTCTCCAGAAAGTAG